ATCCATCTAAGGAATTAATTTAGTAATCATGTGATTTCATTATGGCAAAATGAAAACTAACGCAGCTTACAAGGCCCTTCGTGATCTTTCTCCGGCTTTTTTCTCCACCCTCACCTGTCTCCACATACTGAACACAGTCAATAGGAGCCTTTCTCAACTGGATTACACATGAGAATGAAGCTCTGAGGGAAATGATCTGATAGACTATTTTCTCAATTCTGCCAATAGATACCCTGGGGCATGAGGGCTTATTCTCTTTCGGAATCCCAGTGGAAAAGGGCTGCTGTACACCCTAACAGGACTGAAACCGTTCAGCTCTTTTTTACCTCTTAGCTTTTCAAAGGCTGTGCCCTCTGCCAGGAATACTTTCATTTGGCCTGGCTAACTTCTGCTTATCCTTGAGATCTCAACTAAAGTGTCACTTCCCCCAGGAAACCTTCCCTGACCACCATCCCTCCAAATCTTGGTTGTGTGTCCCTAGTATGTGCTAATAACACAGTGTACTCTCCTTTAGTGGCATTCATCATTCTATTTTATAATTGTTCATTTTCTCATCAATATCCACACCCCTCCCACCAACTGGACTGGAAGCTCCACTGGGGGCAAGAACTCTAGATATCCACAGTACTTGGTGTTCAGTAAATACAGCCTGGGTGGAATGTTGCTCCTCAAAACATTGCTACAAGGCCTGACTAATAAAAACAAGCAGTGATTAAAAGGGAACCCTCTCCGGCACCTGGGTGGCTCGGTCGGTTAAGCGTCCAACTTCAACTCAGGTCGTGATCTCGTGGTTCATGAGTTCAAGCCCCACATGAGTTCAAGCCTACGCATGGTGCAGAGCCTGCTTGGGATTCTGTCTCTCTGCCTGTCTCTGCCCCTCCATGCTCTCTCTCTTTCTCTCTCTCTCTTTCTCTCTCTCTCTCTCTCTCTCTCTCTCTCAAAATAAATAAACTTAAAAATATATATATATTGGCAGAGGCCCAGTTATGTTATACAAATGTTTCC